TTTTATCAGATGTACATATCGGTCTGTAAGTAGAAGATTGAAAGAAACACTAAAGAATTTGAAAGAATTTATAAAAGAATTTTAGAGAATAAAATGCAAAATATATAAATTATAGTTAGAAAGTAGCAGTAAAATATAAATAAAAATAATATAAAATAAAAGTAAATCTAAAATAAAACATACCATAGTTGTAGGAGTGATTCTCAGTCCGAAATTATTTTTTGACTTCAATCATCAAGGTTACGTGACTTTTTTTAGTAGCTGATGTCATTACCATGTGCAGAGAAGTTTGTCAATGGATCTCTACTGAGTACGCTCAAACATTCACCCTCCTCTGAGAATTTCTTTTTGAGAGTTTCCAAAGATTTACTCGTCCGCTGATAACAGGACCCAAGGTACTAGACCGACTTCTAGAATCAATGGATGAAATGATGTATAGTTCAACGCATTCTTAAACTCAGCACTGGACGGGGGTCAAATATCAGCTTCTTGTCTCGTCCGTAAAGATATGAACTAATTTTTGCAACGCTAACTATCTCCTTATCGAAAAGCCAACTCAGGTTGCCAAGAAATTCCCCGCTCTGTAGGCAGTCAGTAGGTTCATTACCAAGTTCTCTGCTGTTATGCGATAGTTGCATTCACCTAAGACGCCGACCTATAGAAAATCGCGTATTAAAAATAACCCCGGTACCTCCGCAGAGATTAAATTAGTCTTTTGAAAGTTTAAAAGCGCCAGGAATGAAACTGCATAAGAGCAAACTCGCATATGCAAAAGTTTGCATTTCACAAACAGCTTTTATCGATTCATCGATCTCACTGGAGCAAATTCGCGTTAACGAAACACACGTAATTGCATTGATGACTTTATTTAAAATTTGTATTCAAGATCAGCGATGTAAGAATTACGATTTAGTATAAGAATCAGTAAGAGAAACATTGTAAAACGTTATAAATAATAGTAAAATATATTTTTTCCACTTTTTGAATTCTTGGTTTCAAAATCGGCGTAAATCGAGGGCTACCTGTACTGTCTATGTTCAAATATTCTCTACATCAATTTTTTTGAAACACCGTCAGTCTAGATTCTAGAGGCCGAGCGAGAATTGCTGGAACTTGCGCAAAGGACTGATTTTGGTCGTATGAGATGGACCCGTTGAAAGCACGCGCTAGAGGGGTGTCAGCTTCAGTTGGTCTGTATCTCTACCTGTGTTTAGTTCGGTACGTCACCGCGACCCCCACTACTACTGAATTCCCCTCTCTCGGCTTACACATCACGCATTTAGGTGCCACCAATACTCGCGTGACCTTTACAATGTTCTTTTAGTGGGATAGACATAACACATTATATTTACGATGAATGAATATGGACAAATAATTGAAGATAAGTTGCAAAGAAATGGTAGTGGTCTGTTTAAAATTACTACCGCAGAATTAGCACGAACGGATAGAGCAAAATATGAAATCTCCAAAATCGTATCACCTATCACCAATCTGACATTCCATCTAAGTACCTCCATAATATGAGGAAGAATTCTAATTACGGCAATTGTATTATTGTTATTATTATACTTTTGTATTAGTTTAAAATATATAATAAAATTCAGGTCAATACACAAACTTTATTTAGATGTTAAAATTTAAAATTTAAATGTTAAAATTTAAAATTTAAATTTGCGCCATTCATCACTATAACGATGTTACAAATAAGATGCGTAAAACGGGAGGATCAGCGGAACACATGCTACAATAATGAACAAAACGGACGAATATATTGAAAGACATGCATTATAATATAAAGTAGTTTTAAAAGACAACACCTGAAGATGATGCTTTGCATCGAAACATGTAGTGAAGTGAATGAAGGCGCTCTATTGTAACATCGTTATAGTGATGAATGGCGCAAATTTAAATTTTAAATTTTAAATTTTAACATCTAAATAAAGTTTGTGTATTGACCTGAATTTTATTATATATTTTAATCATAAAACACAAACATGACGCATGTAAACCTTAAATTTTGTATTAGTGTTTGCCTGTCATAGGCTCTTTGCAGTTATTCTAATAAAGGAATTGAATTATTATTATTAGTAGTAGTAGTATTAGTATTTGTAGTTGTCTTAAAACTTACGTTTCTTAAAAAAAATCCGACCTTCTCCCGAATCATTCTTTCCTTGATTTACTTCCAACTTAAACATGGCGCCGCCATCTTCTTCTACACCTTTCGGTGAAATTCGCACTACAGCGCCACCAAACACCATCTCCGGGAGTTGAAGTACCAGATCATGTGTCATAATGAAGTTGACACCTTTTTCATAAAGAACATCGGTCAAACCGCGAAACGAATGGAAAGAACGTTGTTCAGAATTTTCACTGCCGTTGACACTCGTTCTGTTGTCATGGTGATATGATACGTTATTCAAATTTCTGTCGTACTTATTTTCAATCAGCTCGTCCCCACTTTTCGTGAATATTAAGCTATCAGTAACATGGAAATCCCCGTCTGTTACAATTGTTCGATTTAAATATTCAAATACATTTCTTTTAACACAGTTTAATGACGTATTCTTCCCGCATTCACTAAATAAACCGTCCCACACTGAGTTGTCTTCATACAGACTGAATGTTCTGTTGTCTTTTTTAACAGAATACATCCTTGCTACGTCGTTCATGTTATACGGCAAAAATGACTTATATGACAGCATAGTTAAAGAATCCACTATTCTGCCCACAATGTAACCACCATAATTAGTTGTTTTCTTAGGATTATCTATATTGTTTATATCTTTGTCTATCAGACTTTCTGGAGTTAGTTCATCAGACACCGACAGAGTTTCCTTCTCATCTTCTTCATTTCCGTTTACAAGGCACATACATAATGAGACAAGCACACACAAACTTAGTATTAGACACACTGGTCGTCTATGTTGTATCCTTCTCTTCTTAGGCTCCATTTCTGTTTAAATATATTTTACTACATGTGTAAATGATACGGATTACATTTTTATCATCACATATTTATAAGCAATACAGAGGTATGCGTTTTTTTCACATTGTTTCACACGACAGATGTTTAATTCTTTATGTATTATAAAACACTTTGACACATAAAGACGCAGTTCCGCGACCCGCGAAGTACCGGTTCTAGGACGATACTGCAACCAGCATCTACCAGCAACAGCAGCGAGACTAAGAATGAGCACACGTTTAGAGGCTGTCGTTTCTTTTTAACAAAGCTGTGCTCGTTGCTCAGAGGAGTTCATTTGTTTCGGTTCTTCTCCTCAAGGATGTTCAATAGCGTAGCGGTCGCTGTAGGATTTTGCGATAAAATCGACTGTTACACAATGATCTATCTATTAATCTTGTGATCGAAACACATTTTCTAAATTCTCAAATGTTTGTTTTTCTGCGACCTTTAACACTTTATCCAATATCGAGAGCCCCTTTCTGAATGTAAGTTTAAAAAAAATGTCATAAATATCTTTTATTTTAGAGCGATAAAATCAAAGGAACATTATAGTGTTTGAAAATTGTCGATTAATTTTCAGCTGACGACAATTTTCTCACCATTTAATAACGTAACAACCAGTGAAATTAACAAATAAGATTTTGCATTGAAATTGTTCATAACGTATTCTTTGCTTTCATTGATAATATAAATTAAGTAACCTTTCTAGATGGTAGACAATTCGAAAATCAACAATAATACCCTTGTAAAATATCTTGTCTCCTCATCGTTTATCTGTGATGATTAAAATATTTTTTAAATGGCGTAGTAATAATTATGTGTTCAAATTGGTTCAAAATTTAATAACTCGGTATAGCGATGCATACCACCAAATTAATTTAATATGTTCTCAAAATTAAAAGCAAAATTTTCTGAACCTCTCTGCAATTCATTTCTAACAGAGTTCAGTCGTAGAGGTGTTGAGCGTCAGTAAATTATAAATAAATATTTATATATATTATATTGTATAATATTTACGACAGGGGATGCCAGATAACAATGAGAGTCCATTCTAAATAGAATCCTACTAAAATTAATTTTCTGATGATGATAAGTGAGAGGAGAATTATTATATACTAATTATTAAGGTGAAATTTGTCCTTAAAGGCAACAAATGATAAATGAAAGTGCACTTTAGTGGCAAATGATGGCAAAATCTCGCAACAAGACAGTGCAACTTGTAATCTAAAATCTACTGACAAATACATTTCGAATTATAAAACACGCTAAATAAATAATTGGTTTGTAGGTTGTGTATTGTCTAGGTTGAGGGCAGAGAAGCAGGAACGAATTTAATGCCAATATTAATGACCTCTAATTCAAGCCACCATGGAATCGATTCTCGAGCTAGTGATGACGTCACTTCCAGTAAGCAGCTGTTGCAATCGGATATAGCCTGTTGCTTGATTGGAGGCGTGAGATCCCCTGTCTTCATTGGACTCACGTGAGCACAGGCACGTAAGTTCTTCTTTCCATTCCACTAGATTTTATAATTATATTATTAATTCGTTATATTTTTAAAATGTTATAAGCGGGATTTCGGGAGATTTGTAAAGTACGTTATTTACGCTGGCCTTGTAATCCTGGGGGTCTCGGGTTCGATTCCCGGCGTTGCCCGAATTTATAACTTGTGTTGGGCAAGGCCGTGGTCTAGGCAACACGGAGTTTTCCTCCGGGGGCTTCCCCGGTTTCTCCGTGGCATCCCAACAATTACTCCATTCACACATAGAAGAAGGCAATGGCAAACCACTTCTGGATCATCTGCCACGAACGTATATGAACAGGTCCCAGTCCGAGAAAAGGATGGAAGGATCCTGTTCATATGGACCTGTCGTCAGACAGAACACTAAATAATAATAATAATAACAACATAATAAGAACGATAATTTGTTGCCAACTTCGGAGCAGTTTGTTTACCAAGTTTTACCATGTAAGAAACGAAATTCGAAAAAATATATAAGGAAGTAATTAGACAGAAATTTTGTTCTTTGCAAATATTTTGTTGTTTTCCAGCTAAATCTTTCTTCCATTGATCTGATACTTTGTGATTCACTGTTAGAGCTTCACGTCATGAACTGGTTTAATTCGAAAGTGCAGGCCAACATAACTCGGAGCTTCATTGACCGTTACAAACACACGCGAAGCTATAGAACGTAGTAAGATATAACCGAGCCCTCCTTCGTTTACTATCAGACGTGAAAGTATTAAGTTTAGACTGTAGAAGCCGTGCGTACAGCATAAGGCATTGCTATTGTATTATAGTTCCTTTAGCTTACAAAATACTGTGTAGTGCAAAGGTCAATGTATAAAAATGCTGTCGACTGTATTGGAATTTAGACGGAAACAAACGTTTCCGGTTTCACTCTTCGCCGATTTGTTAAACCGTGACCTTTCTAACTTCCCTTCTCCTCTTACAGTGACGTGGCTGAAGCTCGCAGTTATTTTGCGTGCACTACAACCGGATTTACATTTTGCCCAGAAAATATATCTTCGTGGAGACGTGTTGTGTTTTCGTTGACAAAGTTAATTTATTATTTAATTAACAAATCACCATTTCAACACTCATAAGAAAATTAAAATTATGCTGTCTTTGGCTCAAGCTACTAACTCACTCTAACGTCTTCACTCTCATTTTATCGTCAACAGAAGGACGAACGGTCATTGCCCGGGAACCTTCTAACAAGATGTTGTTTCTCCTAGAAATAAAATGTCTTTCCCTTTTCTCCCTTTCACTTAACTTTTGGTCTTCTACTGTCCTTACTATTTCCTCTTTCCTTTGTAAACCTAATTCTCTTCCATCTATTTTTACCAGAAGGACGAGTGGGCACTGCCTGGGAACACTTCTTTTTGTATTGACGGGTTATTCCTTAAATATCACTGAAAAGTTGATCTTCGTAAAGGTGACGGGTTGTTTTATTCCAATTATGGAATTTTATTTAGATAAACTTCGACTTCACAGAGTCAAAGTATTTTATTAAATTAAGGAAGTTCAAGGAATATTTTGTTGTTTGATTGAATTTAGTGTTGAAAAGTCTTAGAATGCCTTTATAAGTTATAATTGACGGCCAAGAATCTGTGGCAATCGAGTAACATTCCTTGTAAATGTATTTTAAAGGGAGTTTTGCTTAGATTCTTCGATTGCATATAGGAAGTGTCACATTCCGTATCTATATTTTGAATTTGTTTCATCGTAATGTAAAAAATAGTTAATTAAATTTTAAACATTTTTAAATTTGCAGCTCAATAGTTGTCATTTAAAAAGAATGTGAATTTTCCTCAGTAGAGAGGTTTCGTGGCCATTACGGAGTTACCTTATTGTGTTTTGGTGCTAGAATATTTATTTGTTAAATGATATTTTATGTTCTCACAGTAAAAAGTTTGAGTTGTTGCGTCGTGGTCTGGTAGAAGTTTATCGACGCTTCAAAGGTGCGTACTGTCTCCATAATCGGGGCGATGAAGACAGATATCTTTCTATTTATTTGTTGTTCTTATCATCATCTGCAAGCAGAGTAAAGACTGGTAAATTTCAAGTGATGGTTCATAACATTTCTACAGCCAGAGAGCGTGTTTTGTTGGTTTAAGATACGTCTTGCAAAGGATTGATTATTTTGAAAATTCCTAATAATTTAGTGTGCCCTTGGAACCACAAGATCTTAAAGCTGGTGTCTGTAGAAATGTTTATTTCAGAATACTTCATTTCCAAGTAGGCTACTGTCCAAAAACATGCAAAACGTTTACCTGTGCTTTATATTTAAGTATAGGAGAATGGAGGTGAAGCTACCCTCATTTATAACCCCGAAAGTGGAGGTTTTGGTGATTAACTTCACGATCCGACCGCTTTGCTTTCCGGAATAAATCCGCCCGAATCTACTGAATAAAGGACTGCATGGGGAAGAGAATAATTTCTATCGTTTGTTGCCGGGAATCGAACCACAGTCTTAATGAACCTCTAAAATTTATTCTTCACAGTCACTATCGTAAGTCACACGAATCCAGTCCACACCCACCCATCTATTTTCTTAAGTTTAATTTTAATATTTTCCTTTAATCTACATCTAGGTCCTCCGAGTGGTTCTTCATTTAGGCTTTCTAATTAAAATTTTGTGCATCCCCCATGCGTGCTACAGCCAACGCCCATCTCTTCTTCCTTCATATTAGTTCCCTAAAATATTTGATGAAGAATGAAAATTACGAAGCTTCTGATTGTGCAATTTCCTCCTTCATCCCCCTTAGGTCAAAATATTTTCTTGGCATCGTATTTTCAAGAAGAGTCTTAAATTTGTGTTTTCTCCTTAAAATTAAGGGTCAGGTTTCACGCCCATACATAACAACAGGTAAAATGATAAATTCGCCATTAAGTTTGAATAGCATATGCAGATTAAAAAGCTACATTTATGAAAGAAAATTAAGAATGAGTTGACATGGTATAATCTTAATATCATTTCTTCCTTGTGGCTGTACAGTACGTTATAACATGTACTTCAATGTCCAACCACTTCTATTCACTGTCATTGTAAAATATGTCAACAGAAGCATTTCGTTTTTTTTTAAAGAAAATCTTCGTCCGTTCTGTAATGTTCCCTATTGTATCTCTTCCATTACATAATAATTTAAAATGTCTTAAAATCAATTTCTTCCTGAGGTCTTTTTTGTTGGTAGTGATTTTAAAGATACAAGATTGGATTAATCTGGCACAATATAAGGACTAACGGCGAGGATCTTGTTAACGCGTTAATTAATCTTCTAGTTAACAAAAACTGCCGGAATTTCTTGACCACCTGAGAGACTACAAGCTTATCAAGAAGACTCCTGCTCAATGGAGTCGGACAAGCTGCAAACGGGAAGTCTGTGGTTTACGCACCACAATCAGATCGCATCTCCAGCCTCCTACCCAACAAGCAGCGCGGCCTTGACCTAACTTGCAAAGACGGCATTATCCATTCTTAATTACTTTCCATTCCATTCCGGTGTTAAGAATGGATGAAACTTTGCCTCCATCCCTCGTACGCCTTACTTCATTCTACACCAAGCCAGTTTCATTTTCTTGTTATTTAAATTATATGGAGTTCGTCCTTTGTAGTCTACTTTCTCTTTTCGTAGGAAAAGACAGATCTATGTTGTTATCATGTTTGTGTACTGTCCACTGGCCCTGAGAAAATC